AAAACCTGCATTTAGGCTGAATTTTCTGGGATGAAAATGTCAGTCCTTTATAGGTGAATTATATTCTGTATATTAAAGCTGGTGTACCTACATTTCAATCCACAAAAAAATAACCATGTAATAAAATCATGTAACTAGTTTCACGCTCAAAAATCAGGTTTATCACTGGTTTTGACCAGTGTTGTTGTTTAAAAGAACGCTTTCATTGAACACGCACATTTTTTGGGAAACTGAACGCAACACATTTTTTTATAAAGAACTTGAATGTGAATTAGTTCACGTTATGTGTGATGAACGACAGACTTCACTGTAAATGAACGTGTGAATTTGTTTTCCATTGAAAACTGAGTGACGTCTGTTTTCTCTTTTGAAACGCAACGAGAGAAAGTTCCTCCCTCCTGTATTCTCCGCACTTTTTCCGCCGAAAACTAAAAATTCCCACGGTTTCCACCGTCTGTGAATGCACCCCGACTCCGTGTTGCGTGTAAAATGAACTGAACTTTGCAAGATCAGAATTAAAATTGCGAACTTTGAAAGTGAACTGAACTTTGAGCATGTATGAACTGAACTAGTTCCAGTGTTGGGCCAGCTGTGAACTGACACAACACTGGTTTTGACACATTTCAGCTTTTTCAGACAAAGGTGAAAAGAGAGGCCCATCCTCAGCTCTCAGCCCACAGCACAAATAGTGAAAAACAAGGCTTTTTTATGTATGCAAAAGATGAACAGAGCATGTCGTGGTCCTGAGGGCTGCTCTTCTCTTGTTCACTTTGTCTGAAAAAAGCTGATCTAAAGATGTGACGGAGGTAAAACAAAAATACATGTTTTAAGAGTACTATTTTAATGTCAACGTATCTTTATGAAAAATGACATCTCTTCATTAAAAGTATTTTCATTCAGCAGCCCCTATCTCAAGATAAATACTTGAATGAGATAAACATCTGTTTGTGCGGTGCTGAGGACGAGAACATTAACTCCCGACCATCTTCCTTCAGGCCCTGATTATTTAGAGAAGATTGGCTGTTTTATTCCCACTTATCTCCTCTCTTGTCTATTTTTGGCCACAAACACAGCAAATTAAGCAATTCATCACATTAATACGAGTCTATTTTGTCAATAAACAAAGCTGGATGCTCGTTGGCTTAAGGCGTATTAGGAGAGTTTCTTGTTCGAGCCATAATGAACGTTTTAAAAGAGACAAACACATGATTTTATGGAGGTAGAGTTCATCAAAGCTGACAATAGATACTTGTATATCCATCAGCAATAAACTTCATGATTCATTATTCATAGGCACATAGTGGTCATTATAAGTGATGGATGTCGATGGGCATATGGGAGATGTTTAGTTGGCTTTGAGGCGACTGCTGTTGTGATTTGGGGCAATACAATAATAAAAATATTTGAATTAATTAAACTTTGAGCCCAAAGAGTAAAATGGTGACTCACAGGTCCAGTAAGGTTCCTTAGGTCTTCTGAAAGATACTACAAAAGGATTATTTTGTTTTTATTCAGGTGTTTTTTTATTCCAATCAAGTGGTAAGAAGACAGCGGAAAAACATAAATAAAATAAAATAAAACAAACAAAGAAAATCGCAATGTTGGTCAGAAATCTCGTCAGAAATGGATATTTGGGAGGATCATGACCAGGAGCTGTGATGTGATTGGGGCAGAGGGCCCAGAGCAGTGGGTGTTCTGGGTCTGGGTGTTCTGGGCACGCTTACAGCTACCTGAGGACAGGATGCTCAGATAGCCCTTTTATTGTGACATCTAGGAAAAGGGAAACATAGAACATCCATTGTCTGTCCGGAAGTCATCAGATGTACAATGTGTGGGACTGGCTCAGGTCACCTGGTGCCGGATTACAGAACACTCACCAGTAGGGCTGGGATAAACGATTATTTTTTAAACGATTAATCTAGCGATTATTTTTTCGATGCATCAATTAATCTAACGATTATTTTTTTCGCTTCGATTCGATTTCGATTCAATTCTCGATTATCTCCCCATTAATTGACTAATATTGATGTATACATGTTGATTTAAATATTTTAATGAAAAAAACATGAATTCCTTCACAAAAAATATTTATTGCTTGCTCTTAAAATTCAAAAATAAGACATTCTTAGAGGTAGCATAAAACCTTAAAGCCTTGAAAACACAGCTTACTGAAAAAAGTGCATCTTATCATTCTTGAAACAAACATTTGATGCTTAGCATTCAATAAAAATATGAAAAAGTTCAGCCAAATACTTGTGTAGAGCAACTAAAAGAAAACAGTAACCAATGTAAACTTGAAGGCTTTAAGCTAAACAAAGAGTACTTTTCCAGCAAAAACAGTGGGAGCCATCAGCCTGTCATGGCGTCCTTCCTGAACCAACAGAGTTTAACATTTAAGTTGAAGACACATAGGCCTATATTACTGAAGTCCATTAATTAAAGTGCATCTCTTAAATTCTTCATTCATATAAAAATAACAGTCAAAACTCTGCCACTCACCTTTTTCTTAAACTCAAAATTCAAAAATAAAATTCAAGTAAGAGTGTACAAGAGAAAAACAATGCATTGTGTAGCAAATAAAAAGGTCAACCAGTCATCCTTTCTTTTAGAGTTACTGAAAGAATACAGTAGAAGTCATCTCAGAGGACTTAAAACAACATTGAAGTCACCAACACAGATCAGAGAATCAATCAACAGTTAAACGCATTAAGGATATTGAACACATGTTGAAAAATGTCCATATACGGCGGGCATGACAGTGAATAATACATGTAGGGGCTATTACGGGCGCCAATATTCCGTTTGATACAAAGAAAGACAGACCAGTTGTAAGCTGTAGAGTTGCCACAGGACGCGTCATCAGCCTACGTCAGCAGCTGCGGACTGCTATGAAAACATTAGCTTTGTGGTTTCACAAGCGCAGTTGACTGCTTAAACTAAACTTTACACAAAACTTTGACTCTTAAAACCCACATGTGACAAAACGGAACCATCAACATCTCGCCTCAAATTGCATTAAAAGTGACATTCGTGTCTGAATTCGTTCGTATTTTAACTTTTAAAGAAATTCACGGTCCGCCATCTTGGTTTGCTTCGACTGCCGTGAGACGCGCATGCGCAGGTTTGCATTACATGATAAACAGCTGAGGCAGTGCATCTCTTCAAGGCAGTGTATCTCAGCGTTACACCGGCTTGCACTTCTCTAACACGGCACTCGCATTGCTACCGCTCACCGCCATCTTTGTTTTGTTTGTGACGCACCGACGCGCATATTATACGTCGGTGTATTTTTTGCGTCGACGTCACCGATTACGTCGACGCGTTGTCCCAGCCCTACTCACCAGCTTTCATGTAATAAAACATTTGATCGTCTAAACGCTGCTCTGTGAGAAACTGATTCTAATAATTAAAGGACAACTCAAACACTGTGGGGAAATTTCACAACGTGGAGGATGAAAAGAGCTTCCGTCCACATGCGGATCAATCACTTACACTAATAGATTGCATTCATGTGACATCACAACATTCCATAGAGCTTATATTTTGAACTTGTGGTGCAGGGTAGTTGCAAAATAGTTCCTGGTATCTATGGTAACTGACAAAAGTGTGTGGCTGATTTCGGTGTAATCCCTGAGCGAATCTAGCCCGACTCTCGCCAAACCCTTGCTGCTGAACCTTTGCTGAGCTTCATCAGGGTCTGGGTCTGCTTCATGACGGATGAATTTCAGAAGGAATCCTTGGATGTGATTGGATAAACCACGTCGTTATCTTCAATGACGTGTTCCTTCAACAAATCACATTGAAGCACACAACTCCTCACTGCGTTGCAGGGTTGCCAAATGCCAGCAAGATTTTCCAACCCAAAACCAGAGTTTTTTTTGTGGCTAAAAACGTTATGCAATCAACTCTGTTTTTTGTCTTTCTGTTTATTTATTACCTACAAGTCGCTTAGAAAAAATTATGCGGGAAACCACCCAACCTGGCAACCCTGCTGCGTGGTGTTGTGACAGGAGCAATCAAACCAGAGCTTAAACCAAACTTTACACGAACATTTTACTCTTCAAACACACATAACAACATGGAACTATCAACATCTGACCTCAAATTTCATTAAAAATGACATCTGTTTCTTAATTTGTTGGTATTTTAACTTTTTTTTTTTTTATTCACTGACTTTATGTCCGCCATCTGGGTTTGATTTGGCTGAGAGACGCACAAGAATCCTGTGCAAACCGGACGCAACACCGGCAATCCTGATTGGCTGATTATTTTTTGATCTCCTGAAGGAGTTTGCAAGGCTCTCAACCCTTGTGTTCAGCGAAACGCCTCTGGTGGAGCATGGCGGACCTTCTTGCTGAGAGGCGAGAGTGCTATCCACTCAGCCACCGTGCCGCCCAGCATGTTAGCATAAGTGGCTATAACTCCTCTGGCTGTAACTGCAGACACAGCAAAACAGCCCAAACAACACCACAGTGAGGAAGAGAAGAGGGAACTAAAGCGAAAAAGAAATCAAGCCCGGGTGAATATAGCTAGCGTTAGCTTGCATGGTATCCTCTGGAGAGACCTGCGGGAGCGGGACCGCCTCGGACTATCTAGGCTTGGACTATCTATGCTCGGACTCGGTAATCTTTCAGTTATATATTTTGTTAGCAGTGCGTTGCTTTTGTACCATTTGATCAGTGATTATTGTACAGCTTACAAGAAGTTGCGCTAATGCTAATTTTAGCATAGGTATCAGATCGTAAATAAAACTAGATGTCTCCGTGGGGGGAGAGCGTTGGGGAAATGAGACGCCTGTGAGCGAGATCAGGGCGGTGCTAAACATTCAAACTGAAGAAAACCTTGCAGAAACAGGTATAGCTCCTTTAAGACTGGACCAGCTCGAGGAAATGGGTAGAGTCTGTTTTGCTCCTGCTTGGTTGGAATTGTAAACCTGCTGCCACACCGGCCCTTTGAGCACCGGTTTAACACTCCTGTTGTAAATGATGTGGAAAACATACTTGTCTCCAAAGAATCTCCTCCAAAAGTCGGCAGCGTCAGCTTTGGTGATCCGGAACGTGTCGCCCTGGAAGTGTCCTCCGGGGAAGATGGCTTTGATTTCGGCCAGCATGTGGCTGAAGATCAGGGACAGCTTGGTCAGGTTCCTTCTGCACACAACAACCACAAAGTTAAGGATTAGGACCACTCCTCACATAACTCACCAAAAAAAGAAAAAAGCTCTCTCTCTCTCTCTGGCTTTCAACTTCTTTTCAGCCCAAACTTTGATGGTGCAAGCTTGTTACCCTATGGAACTAAACTAATTATGCTATGGGTGTAATTGTCTAGTTGTGTGGGCGTTGATGGGTTTGTCGGCTTTCGGTTTTTTCTCAGTGGGAATGAGCTTCTGCTGTCATGGGTAAATTCTAGAAATTAAAATTGCATCCCAATTAAAATACTGGCTTGACTATTAAGCTCACCTGGATAAAAACATATCAATATAAAGTAAATGTTGTCCAGCCATCAGGCATGGGTTTGGAGATCTTACGTATACATTTAAAGTGATTGTCTGGAGTTTGTCAGAAAAAAGAGAGAGGGGTGCAGAATTTGAAAAACACTACAAGCTCCTCCCCCTTCCTTTCTGATTGGTCTACACATACGTTTCCATAACAATCAATCAACACATTTAAATGTTAATCTGAGAACACATTATACATATACATTAATAAAACAGAGAACTACATTATTCAGAATTATCTGTTAACGTTTTCATGACAAAAATAATGTTTTAATGCACAAAAAAAGCGATAGCAGCAAACCAGGAAGTAACTATTATCGCTAATCGAACATTATAGGAACATCTGCAGAGGATCTGATTATGGATATAGGTTCAGTATATAAATGGAGGGTTGATTCGGAGGCTCCGTGAATACAAACAACTGAGCATGAGCAGCTACAAGCATCAGCGCTGATGATTGACAGCCCTTGGCATCACCTGATTGGTTAAAGTGGACGGCATCGTGGATTTTGAGCTATAGCTAAGAGAAGGGAAGGCGGGACTTACCCGTAATATTAGAATTCATAAAATGACTTATTTTAAATCAACTTTAAACCAGGAGGTCTTGTTTTAAGAATTAAAACAATTCTTAAATGTTTTAATTCATTTAGAGTTACAGACTACCACTTTAAATAGCTGTGCAAAATAACTTCGCCAATTCTTGTGAAAAACGTGGACATTGTGGTTGGTGTTTTTTGCAAAATACAAAAAATGACATTGCCATTTTTTGATCTTTCACATTTTTTGACACAGCTTGACAACAAACCATATTTTAAAGATATTTTTGATTGGATAGTCCATTCAATCATTGACACTATCTACAAAAGCCTGCTTCTCCAATTAACAATTGCTCTTTATTAGTAGTGATTTATTCCCATCAGTTCTCACTTAAAACACATTCATTTGCATATAAATTACATTAATAATCCTTAATAATTTAAGAAAGTGCATAAGAAGTCAATAAATGCTTGAGTTTCCCCTCTGCAGGCGGTTTAAATCCTCAGTGACACCAAGGACTTTGATGGTGGACTGAGTAGGAGATTAGCTCTGGAAATAGCTGAGATAGGGACAGTGCAGTTGAGCTGTTGAGTCCAGGCTCATAAAAATGTGAAAGTATTTCTTAATCCTAGAGGAAGCAGGGAAGGACACTCCAGGAGTCCTTTCTCTCCGTTATTGTGCCGTGGAGGTGAGAGGGGCTCTGGTGTCTTCTGGGACGTGGATTTGTCCATGTGAGATTACTGTGTACCTTGTAAACACATTTGCACGATATTCTGGGGAGCAGGGTGACTTTGGAGGTGCACCACCGCAGGACACGGGGGGTGCACAGGCTGCGGGCTGCTGATAACCAGCTTTAAAAAAGGTTTGGAGCTATGGGCAAACTTGAAATACTTCTTATCAAACGGGACAAAAAAGCTCCACAGTTCTTCGTCATGGTGCGAAGGAGCGATCAGTCCACATGTTCAGGCTGATGGTTTTCAAATGTTTCAGGTGATGGAGGAGGGACCATTCCCATTAAAAAAGCACATGTTTAGCTGGCTGTTACAATACCTACGTATATAGATACAGGGAACTTTCAATTGAATACAATATTATTTCAAACAATTCATTACAGTAATAAATAAATAATGTTGCCCCTTATCAAACGCTCTAAAACACATTATTCATGCATTTATATTTAATTCATTAGTAATTAATTGTTATTATCTTTTTTTATAAATCTACAACATACAAAAGTATATACATATTTTCTTTTTAATGGACAAAAAATTTTGAATATTTTTTAACAAAATGTAATTTGAAAAATCAATGTCATATAAACATGTATATGTTGTGTACTTAAGGGTATATAGGAGGATGTTCTACTTCCGGGTGGATCATCAAGACTATTGGTCCTCCCATTGGTCAATTATTCTGGTGATACGTGCTCGTCCAATAACACCAGAGTTTGGTTCAAAACATGGAGAGGGCGGTTCTTTCCTCAAATTTGGGGAAATCCTTCATTAAATATATATTTTAATCTATTCATCATTGCCTTCATTTATTCATCCATACATAGGTGTATCATATGGTTGTATCCATACACTCATAGTTGAGCAGTATCTGTGTAAAATACCATGTAGACCAAAAACATGTAAATCTTGGTGCCCATTTTCAGTATGTCGCCAAAAACTGTTTAGTGCCACTTTCACAAGGTTTTGAAGTCATCAGAAACATCTGCCGTATCATTTAGGCAATTGTAATCAAACCTGTTTTGTCCTTTTGAAAATTATAATAATAATTACCGGTAACTCCACTTGAAATGTTAAATGCATGTACTAAATAGAAAGTACTAATGGTTTTTAAGGATCACAGGAGAACGCTGTTGAATCTGGAACGACTCAAACTAAAGGATGTATTCGAATTATGTTTATTGAAGGATGTTTGTATTATTTATTCTATAATTAGAAACTTAGATTTGGTGCCTCAATTTCAGCAGAAATACAGCATGGCATATGCAAAATAAAATTGAATAGAGATAATGAAAGAAACATCTCCCAGGATCTTGATGACATGAATAGTGATTGGGAGGAGGAGGGTTGCTTCACGAGCTGAAGCTGTGAGGCACTGTGGAAATGCAAAAGGTGAAGGCTGGTGAGCTCAGGCCCTGATGTTAAAACATGGTCTCAAGGATAGATGTGAGAATATGACCACAGGAGAGATCCTCTAGTTCCAGTCAGAACCACAGACAGTAGATACACACAGACAGTTACACACTCACTGTAATAATCTTCTGCAGCAGTTTTTAGATACTTTCTATTATTCTTGGGTTTCATATGACGTCAGGGCAGTGAATAACAAGCGTAGGACAGGACGTGACGTACCCTGGCGGTGCAGTCTGCCGGGTTTATACACGGAGATACAGTAGAAGAAGAAGTGGTTTATAGACGGAGATACAGTAGAAGAAGAAGCACGGTCAAAATGAAACACCATGTTCTACTTTATAATTCACTGGCAACAAAACAGTCTTCTGCTACTTCCCAATCGTTATATACTGACCCTTACACAGACACTGACCATTACACACACACTGACCATTACACAGACACTGACCCTTACACAGACACTGACCATTACACACACACTGACCATTACACACACACTGACCATTACACACACACTGACCATTACACACACACTGACCATTACACACACACTGACCATTACACACACACTGACCATTACACACACACTGACCATTACACAGACACTGACCATTACACACACACTGACCATTACACACACACTGACCCTTACACACACACTGACCATTACACACACACTGACCCTTACACACACACTGACCATTACACACACACTGACCATTACACAGACACTGACCATTACACAGACACTGCAAAGGAGGAAATCATAACAAGCATCTGCCAAGAAAATCAGATTTCCGACGAGCATTAAGCCTTCTATGTCTAACATGTTTTAAAATACACTATGACATAATGGAGGAAATGAACTCGTAATAACTTATATCCTGGAGCCTTGGGCAGTACAAAGGTTCTTGTGTTTTCCAGAAACAACATGGATCAATGAGACTGCGATTATCATGGCTGTAAATATCCAGGGACTTTTATCTTTGTAAAGTGGTCACATCCTGCCATCCTCAGCCTCAGAAACATCAAACTGATCCCCCATGAGACCAAAACCAGTCAACAACAAGTCTTCACACTGAACGAGAAATCACATATGACAAAATACGACTAGAAAGGCATTAAACTTTTGTAGAAGAAAGGAGTAGTTTACAGAATGATGTAATTTCACTTGTATTAGAATAGTCTTGGGAATTAAGGCCACTAAAAACATTGTTTAAATCTTGGGTACCTAACTTTTTTTCTTCCATAAACAATACATTTAGTCTTGTTAAAAATATCAGTAATGAACTAGTAAGACCACGACATCTTTTTGAAAACATGTTATCTTTTGTGCTTTGGGCTGAGAGCTGCTGAGCTGAGTGAGGCTCTTTTCTGTCTGAAAAAGCTGATCTAGGGAGGTGAAATAGGCCAAAAATGACATATATGTGAAAAGTTACATTCTTCAAATAATTGGTACCCACCTTTAAGTTATATTGTTCTTGTCTTTGAAGGTTCTTTTAATAAGACAAGACAGTAAAGAAAGCTAGAACTGTTTAATTCCCACATGTTTCAGTCTGACAGATCTCACAGATCCCTCAGACTGACCACGTCCCTAACCCTAACCCGCGCTGTGGTCTCTGGAGAAGTGAATCCCAAGTGTGAGCCAAGGCTTTCACCTTTCAGGTAATTAGGCCGTACAAGCTTTCTTTACTTTGTCTCATTAAAAGAACCTTCAAAGCCTTAAACATAAAACGACAAAATGAACTTTTTACATTTATTCTTGGTCTACTATAAAAACTATGGCAAACATGGTTCATTTCTCTACATTTGTAATATCTAAAATGACAGAAATGACTGAATGACAGCAGATCAGAGGATTTCCCCCATGGGGGGAAAAAAACATTTCTCATCGAAACAGGTTCAAGCAGATCACAGGACGGAGCAGGTTTTTCACATCTGTACCAAAATGTCTGAGGCCAAATCATGTGTT